GTGCCCTTGACTGGAATCGAGAACCTGGAACCCTTCAGTCTGCAGGCTGACATTCTGTCACTGAGCCAAGCCAGCCAGGGCTACATTGATAGATTTTTAATTGTTATAACAACCTTACATTCCTGAGACAAACTCTACTTGGTCACGATGTGTTATTCTTTTTTTTTTTTAGTTTTTATTTAAAAAAAATATTTCTTTATTGATTTCAGGGAGGAAGGGAGGAGAGAGATAGAAACATCAATGATGAGAGAGAATCATTGATCAGCTGCCTACTGGGGATCAAGCCAGCAAACCAAGCATGTGCTCTTGGCCAGAATCGAACCTGGGACCCTTCAGTCCACAGGCTGACGCTCTATCCACTGAGCTAAGCTGACTAGAGCACAATGTGTTGTTCTTTATATATATTGTTGAATTCTGTTTGCTAAGTATTTGTTAAGAATTTTTTATCTATGCTTATGAGGATAGTTTTCTTTTTCTTTTTTGTAATATCTACAGGATTTATATATCTTTAACTTAGAATAGTCTGCCTCCAAGTGATTTTAGTAGTATATTTTTATCTCTTTTCTTTGTGTTATTAATGTTAAAAATTATACATGCTATCAACTCCATATGACATTGACATTATTTTTGTTTAAACAGTCAATTTATCTTTTACAGTAATTAAATAAGAAAAATATCTTTTTTTTGTTCTTCCCAGTTTTTTTGTTTTTTTTATTTTTTATTTTTTTATTTCTATTTTTATTAAATTATTATCTGTGTACATATAACATGGCCCCCTCCTTCCATACATGCCCTCCCTCCCCAGAGTTTTGTGTCCATTGGTTGTACTTACATGCATGTATACAAGTCCTTCGATTGATCTCTTATCTACCTCAGATTTCCCTCCCCTCCCCGCTATTTACCCATGTAGTTGCTATTTCCAATGCTCCTCATTTCTTTGCAGAGATCCATATTTCTACATGGTATTATTTTTCTTTATCTGAAGGACCTTAACATTTATTGTAGTGTAGGTTTGTCTGCTGATGCTGAATTCTTTCAGCTTTTATATGTTTAAAAAGTTTATTTAGCCTTTATTTAAAAAATATATTTTCATTGTCTGATCTGCCCTCTGCGGTGGAATCAAAGCCAAGATGCAGATTTTTATGAAAACCCTGATGGGGAAGAACATCACTCTCGAGGTTGAATCCTTGGACACAATAAAAAAGGCAAAGGCCAAGATCCAGAATAAGGAAGGAGTTCCTTCTGATCAGCAAAGACTGATCTTTGCTGGCAAGCAACTGGAGGATGGATGTTCTTTGTCTGACTACAGCATTCCAAAGAAGTCTACTCTTGATCTTGTGTTGAAATTTTGTGGTGGTGCTAGGACAAGGAAGAGGAAGTCTTAAACACCACTCCCCGGAAGAATGAACATAAGAGAAAAAAGGCTAAGCTGGCTGTCCTAAAGGCTGCAGAGTGGGTGAGAATGGCAGAATCAGCTGCCTCTGGCGAGTGCTCTTCAGATGAATGCTGGAGTTTTTATGGCTAGCCACTTTGACAGACCTTGTGGCAAATGTTGCCTGAGCTATTGCTTCCACAAACCAGAGGACAAGTAATTGTACATGGGTGAATAAAAGACATGCACTAACAACAAAAAAGATATTTCCATTGAAATAGAATTCTAGTTAGTTTTTTCTTTCAGTACTTGAATGATATTGTGCCATTGTCTTCTCATTTCTTTTTTTAAATATATTTTATTGATATTTTACAGAGAGGAGGAAGGGAGAGAGATAGAGTTAGAAACGGCGATGAGAAAGAAACATCAACCAGCTGCCTCTTGCACACCCCCTACCAGGGATGTGCCCGCAACCAATGTACATGCCTTTGACCGGAATCAAACCTGGGACCTTTCAGTGAGCCAAACTGGTTTCGGCTGTCTTCTTATTTCTATTGTTTCTGCAAGAAGTATGCTGTCAAGAAGTATGCTTCAAGATTTTCACTTTATCACTGATTTTGAGCAGTTTGATTATGATATGTGTTTGTGTAGTTTCCTTCGTGTGCCTTGTACTTGGAGTTCACTGAACTTCTTGAATCGGTGGGCTTAGTTTTCATCCAATTTGGAAAATTTCAGCCAATTCTTCACATGTTCCCAACTTTCTTCTTTCTTTAAGCATTCTGATTACATGTATGTTGGGCCGGTTGAAATTGTCCCACTGTCCACTTAAAAAGGAATCTCTTTTTCCTCTATGTTTCATTTTGGAATTTCTAGTACTGTGTCTTCAAGATTTTCTTCTGCAGTGTCTAATCTGCCTTTAATTCCATTTAGTTTATATTTTCATCTCATAATGCGTAGTTCTTATTCTAGAAGTTCAATTATAGTTTTTTAGCATATGGTTATAATAATTGTTTTAATGTCTTTGTCTACTAATTCTAATGTATGTCAGTTCTGGGTTGGTTTTGATTGATTGCTTTTTCTCCTTATTATGGACTAGTGGCCCAGTGCACGAAATTTGTGCACATTAAAAGGGGATTAATTAGAGGAAATAATTTAATATTGCTATTTGCCCTTTCTCTATGATAGAAGTGTCAGAGATGAAAGAAAATTAGTAAAATGTATATGAAACTCTTCCTCCTGGCAGAGGCGGGGGCGCACCATGGGACCCAGAGTCAAGTCCCACGTGTGCCTCAAAATCACGCAAGACCAGACCTGGCCGCCCCCCCCACTGGGCACAGCCTCAGGTCCCCTGGCCCGGAGCTGGGGCTGGGAGCACGGCCTGAGCTCCCCTGGCCCAGTACTGGGGCGAGGGGGAGGGGGTGAGGGGGGCTGCACCTTGAGGTCCCCCGTCAAGCCCTGCCAGGTGGAGGGTGCAGCCTGAGGTGCCCTGTCAAGGCCCGCCAGGCAGGGATGCAGTCTCAGGTCCCCTGGTCTGGGGCATGGGGTGTGGCCTGAGGTCCCCTATCAAGCCCCCCGGATGCAGGATGCACAGCCTCAGGTCCTGCTGATTGCTCGTTAAGGCTCCTTACGGGAACTCTGGCCTCTGCCGTGGGCGCAGCCATCTTGTGTTATGGAAACCCCCTCCTCCACTGTGGGCACCGCCATATTTGTGATGGAGTGATGGTCAATTTGCATATTCCCTCTTTATTATGTAGGATTACAGATTTTTGTATGCCTAGTAATTTTTTATTGGATGCCAGACAGTATGAATTTTCTTGTTGATTGCTGTGTATTAAATATTCTTGAGGTTTGTTCAGGGATGTAGTTAAGTGACTTGGAAATAGTGTGATCCTCTTGGGTCTTGTTTTTAAGATTTGTTAAATGGGACCAGAGCTGTGCTCAGTCTAGGGCTCATAATTCCCCACTGCTGAGGCAGGGCCCATTTGTATATTCTACTCAGTGCCTAGCTTTTCCAACCTGTTAGGAATAGGCACTTTTCCCAGAGCTGTGAGTACCAGACACTGTTACTTCTGTCCTTTTGGGTAGTTTCTGCACATTCATGTGATGATCAGAACCCAGCTGAGTATTGGAGAGGGCCCTTTGTAGACCTTTATGGTTTCCTCTCTTTTCTGATGATGTTCTGTGAACCCTGGCCACATGAGTATCCCCAGACTCAGCTCCATCTCCCCTGCTAAGGGCGTCTTTTGCAGTGTGACTGGTTCCCCTCCTTGGACTGCAGTTTGGAAATCCAGCTGTAGGGCTGGGGTCCTTTGTCTCCTGTCTCATGTGTATCAGTGTCTTTTGTTTCCTGATATCTGATACCTCTAAAGCCATTTTGTATATTTTATCTATTTTCCCGTTATTGTTATTTCTGACAGGAAATGAAATCTGATCTCTATTAGTCCATCTTGGTCCAAGATGAGGATTTGACTTTCATTCCCCTCATTCCACCTCTCCACCTTTTAATGCTCCCTATCTTTCAGTCCATCCACTCTAGGTATATTGCATTTTTTTTCCTTCACTCTCCTGTCCGAGTTTACATTGCTGTGGTATGGTAAGCTATGATGACTTTTCCTTTCCTGCCCCACTCTTTGTTCTCCCTGGAGTTGGCTTTTCTGTGTGCTTGGTTTTCTGTGTATCTTTCAGTTAGTCGAACTCGCCGGTAGCCGTCTACATTTATCGAGATGTTGTTTTCCATTCGGTGTTCTGTCAGACTCCTCTTTCTGGAGAGGTTTCGGAGCCCTGTGTCTGGAAGCAGCTCGGGCTGGCTGCTTTCCATCATGGTGCTTGGCTGTCCCTTGGCATCCTGGCGATTCCTTAACAGCCCTTCTGAGGTGGGCTCTTGTTTCCTGCATCTCGTGTCTTCTCTGTTGGTTTACTCGTTCGTTTTTGGTAGAGCACGTCCTCTCAGGTGTCACAGGCCCATTTGCTTTCCAGCTTTTTGTGGTGGTTGTCTCTCCTGTTTTTTAATTATTATTATTAAATATATTTTATTGATTTTTTACAGAGAGGAAGAGAGAGGGATAGAGAGTTAGAAACATCGATCAGCTGCCTCCTGCAAAATCCCCACCGGGGATATGCCCGCAACCAAGGTACATGTCCTTGACTGGAATTGAACCCGGGACCTTCCAGTCCGCAGGCTGATGCTCTATCCACTGAGCCAAACCGGTTTCGGCGTCTCTCCTGTTCTTATCCTTGGGGACTTCTGCCATGCAAACATCTCTCCTTTTTTAATTGTGGTATTGGTAGAGTTTTGGGAAGGAGTGAAATTATGTGCCTGTTTGCAATCTGCAGTCTTCTCCTAGAACGTCTATCCCCTCCTTAACCTTTGAGAATCCATGAAATCATTCAGTATCCAGTATATATTTATTTAAAAAAAAGTTTTAATGATTTTTTACAGAGAGGAAGGGAGAGGGATAGAGAGTTAGAAAAACATTGATGAGAGAGAAACATCGATCAGCTGCCTCCTGCACACCCTCTACTGGGGATGTGCCCGCAACCAAGGTACATGCCCTTGACCGGAATCGAACCTGGGACCCTTGAATCCGCAGGCTAGTGCTCTATCCACTGAGCCAAACTGGTTAGGGCCAGAATACAATTAATGGATAAGACCCTGGCTCTGTCCACCATGGGCCTGCATCCTTGAGCCAAGCAATGTAGTATACAGAATTCTGGCTTCATTTCTTATTTTCTGGGTGATCATGGCCACCTCTTCAGAGCTAGTTTTTTTTTATCTATAAAATGGGAATAATGTAGAATAGGAAGGGGGGGGGGGTTTAAATTGGTCAATGAAAAGAAAGCTTTTAGTAAAGAACATGCACGTAATGTTTTGTTTTTTTTAATATATTTTATTGATTTTTCACAGGAAGAGAGAGGGACAGAGAGTCAGAAACATCGATGAGAGAGAATCATTGATCAGCTGCCTCTTGCACACCCCCTATTGGGGATATGCCCGCAACCAAGGTACATGCCCTTGACTGGAATCAAACCCGGGACCTTTCAGTCCACAGGCCGACGCTCTATCCACTGAGCCACCGGTTTCGGTAGCACATAATGTTTTCTTGAGAGCCCACACTGTGACTTCTCCTTTATACTTCCCCCCAATCCTAGCACCAGGTGAACACATAGTAGGTCTGTGAGAGACGGAGGAGGGGCGTAGGGGGAGAGGTCTGGCCTGGCCTCTCCTCTCAGCAGTCGAACCTCCTGAGGAAGCTGAAGCCATGGGCCTCCGCGGGGATGAGGACCGGGGTTCTTATCGCTGCCTTTCCTCTGTAGGCTGTCTCCTAGTGAGTCAGGGTCTCCGCTCGGGGCCCTGACCTTCACTTGTCCCTGCTCTTGGCAGGGCCGCTCCTCCTCAGCGGTCAGAAGAGACCGTTGTTGACCACTCTGAATTGTTGACCTCCCCCAGCTCCTGGAGGTTCATTCCCTGTGACAGGCTCTTAAGTGCCTTGGACCAGGCCAGTCCCTTCCAATTTAGGGACTCAGTTTCTCTGTTGCTAAAGTGGGTGGGCAGGAGATGGTGGGATTTATGGTCTCTTAAAAACAAACAAACAACAACATATATATATATATATATATATATATATAAAATTTCTTTATTGATTAAGGTATCACATATTTGTCCTCATCCCCCCATTCTCACCCCACACCCCTCCCCACGCATACCCCCACCCCCCTGTTGTCCTTGACCACTTGTTAGGCATGTATGCACACAAGTCCTTTGGTTGATCTCTCCCCTTTATCCCCACCCTCCCCTACACTCCCTCTGAGGTCTGACAGTCTGTGTCTCTGGCTCTGTTCTTATTCACAGTCTTTGTTGTTCATTGTGGAATCTTAAGTACCTTGAAATCCCTGACACTTCTCTCCCAGGTTCAGACCCTTCGCCTCCTGGGCCCCGCAGCCTGCTCTGCACTGGATGTGCCTAGCTCCGGGGTTCTGTTGCGGACGGACATGGGGATGAGCAGTCCCTGTAGCAGAGTAAATGATTTACAATACACAGTGCTGGCTTTCCCCACCCCACCTCCTGGGCCCAACAATAGGCCACTTCAGCTCTAGGCTCTCCCCAGGGGTGGGGGTGGGGTGAGGCCTGAGCCAGAATGCGGGCAGCTCGCTGGGCGTCCTCTGCCCAGCCCTGGAAGAGCCCTGGGAGTGCCTGGCAGCCGGCACTACCTCCTTCCCTTCCTCGGAGGCGCTGCCGGGCCTTGGTGCCATGCTGGTGCCTGGGCCAGAGCATTGGCATGGTGTGCACCAGGCAGACCCCGGCGGCTGCAGGAATTCATCCTGCCACACTTGCGCGGTGTTTGTGTTAGCGGGGGAGAGTGCTCCAGGAGTACATTAGGGCTCTCAGTGTCCTGTCTGAGTGTCAGGATTGGCATGCCAGTCTGGCTGGTGGAGCGTGGAACAGTTACAAAATACTCTCGAGACCAAGCTGGTACATGTGGGCGGCGCTGAATTCAGTGTTGGTCTGTGTCATGATGGTTAATCAGATCCTTTCTTCTCCGAAGATCCTTACTCCTCTTTCTCCATGGTGGTCTGAGATAAGGTGCAGGAGAGTCCCTCTGTCTGATGTATCTGCCTCTGCTTCTGTGCCCTGCCTTTCCTCCCTGTCACTCCCCTTCCCCCTTCCTTCCCTCTTCCCCCCTCTCTTCCTCTCTTCCCTATCCCTTTCTCTCCTCCATTGAGAAGGCCTTCCAGTGCAAGACTCCCCTTCCGCCTGAGTGACCGCATGTTGTCCCTGGGACTGAGGTGGCTTTGTGGGAGCACAGCAGCTCAGTGGGTCTGGGACAGGAGCGGCTGCAATGAATCTGAAAACACGGAGACATTTGAAGGGAAATGGTAAGAGGTGGACAGATAGACAAGGAGTGGATCCTGACGGGCCTTGTATGTGGCTCAATGAGGAGCTACAGAAGGCGTGAAGCAGGGGAGGGACCTCAGGTCTGTGCTCACATGGCAATAATAACAGTAGGCCACTGCGTGCCAGGTGCTGTGCTAAGTGTGCTGCTCATGATCTCATGGAGTCTGCACTCCTTGAGGGAGGTACGATTTGTCCCCATTTTACAGATGAGGAAATTGAGGCTTAGATGTTAAGTCCTTTGCCCCAAAGTTGCCCAACGAGAAAGGGACAGAGTCAGGATTTCAGCCCAGGCCTGCCCGCATGACGGGAGGAATAAGAAAGAGGCAGAAACAACAAGATTTTGTGGCCTGCTTGGGGAAGGTCGGATGGCTGTGGGGGCCAGGGGTGAGGTGTCTAGCTTGGGTGGCTGGTGTTGGCTTGTGATTTTCAATCAGGATACAGGAGCACCCAGGAGCTCGGGTTAAGTGGTTAATGATGACCTCGGTCTGGACATGCAGGATTTGTGGTTACCTGCCTGTGCATCCTCCTGGCGGCGGGGAGGGGGGTGCTGTCCTGTAATGTGTAGGAATGTGGGTCTAGAGCTCCAGGAACTCGGGAACGGAGACAGATAGCTCATGGTGGTAATCGGAGTTCTAGGAGGAGAGGCGGTGACCCCCACGGACAGAACCTCCATGGAGAAGGGAAGAGTTCAGAAGTCTCAGGAAAACACCAACAGTTAGCGAGAAGGACGAAGAGGCTTGAGGGCTGGTCTCGGGGCCTGTGGGCCCAGCACTGCTGCCAAGTATGCCTCAGCCTTGCCAGTCCTCAGGCTCTCCGATGCCAAGCTCCCCTGGGAGGGAGTGGGCCGCCCTGTCCTGGGGATGGAGAGGGTGTGAACAGCCATGGCATGCCTCTGAATCATCCCCTTCTCTCCTTTGGCCCCTGGCCAGCCTCCTCCTCAGACCGGCATGATGTCAGACCCGGGCTGACCTGAAGGTGTGGGGTTGCCTAATGCAGTTCCCTCTGGGATGAGGACCCGAGGGGAGCCGGCCTGGCCTGGGTCCAGACGCTTGGGTCCTGCTCACAGCGGGTGAGTGGAAGCCGACTGGGCTCGGAGGGACTGACCTGGAAGGCAAGATAATCCTCTGGCTGAGAGGAGCTACCAGTGTTACACCCCCCCTCCCCCTCCCCAATATGTTGTTTTTCCTCTAGGGCTTGGAGAAGAGGGAGGGCAGAGGTGGCGGAGGGAGGGCTGGCTTGGAGGTGCGATTGGCATATATTCCCGAGAATACGGTAGATTGTTTTGGAAAAATCCTCTTGGCCGGAAATTACTTGTCACGTCTGCTCCTGGGATTGGATTTGTCACTTCACTGATGCTGTTGGAGAGGCTGGGGGAGAGGGTGGGGGAGGGGGGCAGCAGCAGATTCCTGGCTGCTCCCGGCTCCCTTTTAGAGATCTGGGGGCAGTTACAGACCAGAGAGGTGTGCGAGTGGGCTGGATGCCCCAAATCCCAGAGGCAGGTTGGGGCCTGTGGATATCTTTATAGCAAGACGGCAGGGGGCTTACAGGGGAGGAGGGAGGGAGGAAAAGCAGGAAGGAGGAAGGTTTTCGGATCAGACCCTTCTTCACCCGGCCAGGAGGAGAAAGAAAGAAGGGGCCTGGCATTTTCAGCCCCTTTTCTCCACAGCCACCTGGCTGGGTTCTTGCAGCACTGGTGTCTGTCCTAGCTGATACACCCGCTGCCTGGCAGGGTCATACTTAGGGTTGAGACCGAGCTTGTGAGGAGGGGGAGCCTTGGGGAAAACTCACCTGGTGCCCGCCTGGGCCCTCGCCTCACTCTGCAGGGTGAGAGTGTGTGTGTGTGTGTGTGTGTGTGTGTGTGTGTGTGTGTGCCGGTGGCTCAGCATCTCTCTCCTCCCTGGCCCCAGCCCTGGAAGGGGAGAAGCACCCTGAGCTCAGCCGCACATACCTGTTCCTGCGGAGTCAGTGGATGCTTCAGATGCCAGCCAAATGAGAGGGTGTGCGTCCGTCCGCCTGGAGCCCTGGGGCTGGCGGGGGAGGAGGAGCCTCGGCGGCGGCGGCGGGGCGTCCTCTGCCAGCCGGGGCCTCACCTGCACGCCGGGTGGGAGTTCGGGCGGGCAGGTGTGGGAGCCGGGTGAGAGTTCGGGCCCCTCCAGCAGGCAGCGTGGGCACTCCGAGGCCGGAGAGGGCAGCCCCAGCACCCCGCCCCGCCCTGCCCCGCCGCCCGCACAGCCTGGCTCTCCCTCCGGGGGAGGGGGCGGAAGGGAAAGGTCAAGGCCGGGCTGGAGGAGGCGGAGGGGGTGGGGGCTGGGCCGCGCCGGAGGAGGCGTGGCTCCCGTGCTCGGCCCCGCAGGTTTGCGGTGGCGGCCAGGGTGGAGCGGAGAGAAGAGGAGCCGCGGCGGGAGCCGGCAGGTGGGCGCATGGTGGAGGGGGAGGCCTCAGGCCGCCCCTCTAGAGGGAGGGGAGGGCGGGGCCTCAGGCTGGTTCGGGACCGGGGTGCTTCTGTCCTGTATGCTTCTGGGATGGACCCCCCCCCCCCCCGCTCCCCCCATCATGGACTGTGGGGAGCCTTGAATCCCCGGGACCAAGCTGGCGGCTGTGGAGCTCTGGGGTTCAGGGGAGGGGAGCGTGGCTCTGGGGACCGGGCTGTGGCCCTGCGGGAGGCGGCGGCTCCCTGGCGCAGACGGGGCAGGGCTGGGGGCGGGGCTGCCGCGGTCGGAGCCGGAGGGACAGCATCCTCGGGGGCTCTGCCAGCGGGTGGGTGGTGGACAGGAGGCTGTGGGGTGAGTGCGGGGTGGGGACCAGGACCAGAGCTCCCCCTGCTCATGAGCTCCAGCAGCCCTGCCCTTCTAGGCTCAGACCTGAGGATGCTCCGGGCCCAGCCCCGTGCGGGCCCAGCCCCGCAGGCCCCGCAGCAGCGCGCAGGGCGGTGACGCTGCCGCCGGAGGGGCGGGGGCTGCGGGCGGCGCTGCTCTCCTCGGGCCTGAGCGCTGCGTCTGGGTCCCATGGGGGAGAGGTCTGCGTATCAGCGCCTGGCTGGGGGCGAGGAGGTCCTGCAGGTAATGGGGTTAATGGGATTAATGGGGGCGAGGAGGTCCTGCAGGTAATGGGGGGGGGGGGGCCCTGGGGGAGAGCCGAGGGCCCAGCCCTGCGCTCTGCTGCCGGGAGTGAGGGGTGTGTAAGCGTCTGGGCCAGGACAGGCCCCGGGAGGCTGCGTAGAGACCTGGTGTTGCTGCGGGGGGGGGCGGGGGGGGCTGAGGGGTGGGTGAATCAGGGGTGATGAATTGCGGGTGCTGGCGTTTGCCTCCGTGTCTCTCTGGGTCCCTTGGGGTCCCCAGGAAGCTGCCCTTTGGCTTTCTTCAGCGCCCCCGGAGCGCTCCGGGCACACCAGGGTTTGGGGTTAGTCAGCCACGGGCGCGCCTCCCCATGCCCGGACATTCCCGTGGACATTGCGTTCAAACAGGCGTATCCAGCCAGAATGCCCCTGTTAGCTTTAAAAAAATAAGGTCACACCATCCATACGTAGGGGACCACGGCTCCTTCTCCTTGGAGACCAAGCACTCCCTCCGTCGGCCGGCAGAGGGCAGTCGCTGACAGGACAAAGATGGGCCGAAAGGTGGGAGCTGCGGTTGGGGAGAAAGGGACCCCAGGCCTGGCCGGAGCAGCTCGGACCCCTGTCTGCCCAGGCCGTTCTTTCCTGACAGCGCCTCACAGCTGGATTGTGAGCAAGCTGCCCAGGCTTGTTCTTACCTTAGACCCAGGGAGAGTCAGGCCTGGGGCTCTGGCGTGTGGGGCACATCTGTCAGCGGGTGCCTGGGGTTTTTTAATCTGGCCACGCTAGCCCAGCAGCCCTGTCTCGGGGTTGAGGGAGTAATCCTGCTTAGATCAGGTCCCTGGGCCTCCTTCAGAGAGGGGCCTGGTGGGAGGCAGGCAGTAGGAGGCTTTTCTTTCTGAGCTGTGGACATTTCCTGCCGGGGTTTGGGGGAAAGTCCGCTCCAGGGTGACCTCTGCCTGCCCTTGTCCGTTATCTGTGACCCCAGCCTCAGACGGGGACTCACTTGGACGGAGGGGAGCTGCACCTGGCTGGCTCCACAGGCTTTGGGTAGCGGATGACGGGGCCGGGGGCGGGGGGGGCGGGGGGGAGAGAAGGTCTGATTGCTGGGGTTTGTTTTCCCCCCTTCTCCCCCCCGCCCCCCGTCCCCCAAATCAGGGCTCAGACCAGGAAATGGCTGTCCCTTTGGGTAGCTCCTCTCCACACACTGAGAGAGACCTTGGAAAGAGAGCTTGGGATGCTGACTCCCCCCAATTCCCACCCCAGCTGCCTGCCCCACGAGCCAGCTGGGGCTCTCCGCGCTGGTGGCCAGCTGGATAGGAGACAAGAGAGCAGTGTGAGAGAAACAGGGGCTCCCTGGGCAGGGTGGGGGGGGAAGGAGGGGGAGCCGAGGGAGCCGCAGAGGACTTCCTGCAGCTGTCAGGTGTGTCTGGGGCTGCGGGGAGGGGAGGTGTGAGAGCAGCTGGCCCTCTTGAGGAGGGCCGAGGGATGTTTGTCGGCTCCGGGAACACGGGGGCCCCTGGGGGCTTGATGGAGCTCCTCTCCTTCCCGTTCGCTGGGCTGCTGTCGGGGTGTACGGGTGCTATAACAGGAGACACCATGCAGCCCGAATCCCACAGCGTGGGGCCGGGCTGATCCCGCTGGGGCTAGCGAGCATGTTTGTTTGTTTTGAGGGGGCTTGGGGACGGGGCCGCCCGTCTGGGGAGGAGGTGCCCGGGTGTTGTGGGGCAGCAGACAAGGCAACCCCAGGGGAGGAGGTGGAGATTCCTTACCCCCTCCACCCCCTCCCGGTCTTGGCCGGACTGCCCCGCGCTGGCAGGCTGCCGGCCTCCTATTTCCGTCGGGCACCAGGGTAACAGGGCCACATTAGGGCCTGAGCCAGAGGAGACACCCAGCCAAGGCCAGGGCCGGGAGATGGGGGAGGGTCTCCCCTGCAGGACCCGAGACCACCTCGGGGGTCCTGGCCCCCCAACGCAGGCTCTGTACTGGCCCCCAAGCCCCAGAGAAGCCCACGCGGGAGCCTGCGCCCATTCTTCGTGCATGGCTGCTGGGTTCACATGGCCCCCACCCTAAAATCCCAGGGGTTGTCTGCAACTATGGGGGCTGGGGTGGAAGCCAGAGACAGGGGGCCTTGTGTGTGGGGAGGCAGGGGGGCCGGTGCGGGGGGCTGGGAGGAAGAGTCCCCCCATTGCCGGCCGCCTTCTTGGCAGCCATTCAGAAAGGTCCCTTTTCAGCCAGTGTCAGAGCTGCTCAGCTGGGGAGGGCGGGGGGAGGAGGGAGGGAGGAGGAAGGGCAGTCAGGAGGGGGAGCCAGGGAGCAGGGCTGGAGCTGTGACCACTGCGCTGGAGAGAAGACAGAGAAACCGGACAGAGGGAGAGGACTCGGGCTGCAGGCAGTCTTAGGGAAGAGCTGACCTGCCCCCTGGCAGGCCGGCCAGCTGTAGGAACAGCTGTGCTGCAGAGCGCGTTCTTCTGCCCTACGTCCCACCCCTGGTGTGGGACTCTGGGGGCTCCTAGGGCAGACCTCTGGCCAGCTTCCCTTCTGGGCAAGACCTGAAGCATAGGAGCTGAGGTCCCTGCTCCCCCGCCTCTCAAGCCAACGTCCGAGGGACCCGTCGGGGGTCCAGCCCCGTGGAGATGCCAGCGGCGCGTCGGTTCCCTGGCCTGGAGCTCTCCTTCCCGCTCCTGGCCAGGCTGCGGCGGAGACTGTACACAGTGAGTGGGGGGCTGGGGCCGGGCCAGCAGCACTTCGCCGAGGGGCAGGGAGCGGGACCGGGAGAGGCTGAGGGCCCCCTTCAGTGAGGGCTTGCCCGGGGGTCCGGGCCGAGCGGCTTCTCCCCTCTGGTGCCGGGAGAGTGTGCCTGGGAAACGTGCACGCTCAGCGGAGAGCTACACGTGTCCGACACAGGTGTGCGGGCTCGGGGCTCCGCGGGGGCCCAGGCCCACGGGGACAGCTGCAGCCGTGCTCCGTGCTTCACAAAGGAGCTTGGGCTGGAGGGGCAGGTAGGGGCGAGGAGGGGACTTGTCCAGGGACAGGACCGGGACCCTGCCTGCTATCTCCCCCCTGGGATCCCGGTGTCCTCGGCCTCCCCACACAGGGCCCCGTGCAGAGCGGCCCTGCTGCCTGGGGCTGGGGAGCCGGGAGGAGAGTGTCCAGCTGAGTCGGGAGATTTGTTAGCTGGTATTTCGGGGACAGGAACAGGTTGGGCTGTGCTTTTCAGGGGAGGGACCTCTGGGTGTGAGCTGTCCTCAGGAGTGGCTGCCTCCTGCCCCAGAGGAGGGTGGGCACGGGGACCTGGAGCCCTGGAGTGTGGGCACCGGGGAAGAGGAGGCGAGGGCCTGCAGACCCCTTGCCCCGGGCCGAGCCATGTTGGGGATGGGCTGACCGTGAAGGAGCCGGCCCCGCCCGCCGGCCAGGCCCTGGGAACTTTGCGAGGGCAGTGACGTCACGGTGCACCTTTGGGGTTTTCTTCTGGAAGGCAGTGGTGTCCCTCCCTCGTGAGCCCACACCCCCTTGTTTATAACAGATGGTTTTCTGAGGATGAGTTAATGCTGCTCAATGCTTGGCGCTGTGCCCAGCACATAGTGATGTAGTTGGGAGTGTTAGCTACTTTTATTGTTATTCTTGAAACTAATAGAAATATAACGTGCTGACCGTGCATGTGACAGCCAGTCAGTCCACAAATGTAGTGCCACCTGTGCTGTAAAAGAGAAATAAAAGGGAGGTAATCGCGCCACTTCGCGTAGTCCGCGTCAGCACGCTCTGACACAGTGAAGTAGAACC